GCCAACTGCTGGTCCCAATTTTTATGTGTTTTTTGTTTGTTTGTTTGTTTTACTGGTCTGTAAGTTTTTCATAGAACTTCTTGGTCAGTGATAGTAAGAAAATAAAGACTAGAGAATGAGAAATGAGGAAATCATATTTTAACTTACAGTCCAGATAAAATAAATAAAGTAAATAAAAAGTGTCTTACCAACAGAAAGTCATTGCTAACATTTTGATGGTAGTCCTAGCCCATTTTCTTACATACCTACTAGAGTGTTTAGATGCATCTTTAGAATACCTATCTGAGAAAACTGATATGTTAATCTAAGATGTTCAGAAAAACCTTCGATGCTTTCCTATACTAACAGATAATTTTATATATTGTTTCCTTACCCTACTTCTTGGTAATTGAGTGGTTGCTTTGTCATTAATAAAGAGATACTCTAAAGATAGGAAACAGAAGTATAGGGAGAAACTTGTTTGTCTCCAGATTAAGAATCATTAGGAAGCGTAACAAAATTAAATCTTTTTTTATACTTTTATGATCAGAATGTGGTAATTTAGTGAATTTCACATTTATGAATAAAAATTTTCAACCCACTTTCAGACATCTAAACATGGGCCAGGTATGAATTCATGTAATTGTTTGAGCTAACACACAATGTATAATAGTAATATTTGTGTTGTGTTATTTATGTTTAAAGGTATAAAAATTGAAAATATGTATGTATACTTGCATAATGTATATACATGCCTGTTAGTGTATTTACTATTCACATGAGGAGTCAGTAACAAAATCTAAAAGTTTAAAATAATTTTTTGTTACTTTATAGTGTCACATTTTTATACCCATAATTCCACTATACATAGTCATTTACATTTCTCCATGAGATCTGTTCATTTATATCTGTAAATACATCACTTTTTGCCTAGGTTTTAGAATCATTTTATGTTTCTGAATGTGATCCTTGTGAAGATTCGATAAAAACAAAAATCCTCTACTAGTTTGTAATTTGATAATACTAATTAATAATACTTGCAGCCATTCTGTATAAAGTTGACTATGTGTTAGTGGCTGTAAAGCTCAGGACATAGGAATTAACCAACACTAAATATTATAGTTCAGCTTTTCATGTTGGTTGATGTTTTAGGTGTTGGTTAATAATTTGTACCCCCTGGGACCAGCAGTTAGCGTAATGGCTATGTCGCTGGACTCCCACGTAGTCAACCGCGGTTCACGTCCCCGACCCGGTGGCTTAAACTCACGCCAGGCGCGTGTGCGTATGTGCCCAAGATCCTGAGAGGAGAATGGAGGAGAAAGGATTACGGCATGGCCATCCCCCTTACGGGGTGATTTCTCGCTTTCTGTCTGTCTGTCTGTCTCTGTCTTTCTGGTGAGTACACGTGCCCTATAGCGAAAACCTCTTCAAAAAAAAAAAAATAATAATAAATAATTTGTACCCCCCACTGGATTGGCATTTTTGGATGTCTTGACAGTCCATGTTTTAACATTGGAGAAATAAGGAATAATCGTTCTCAGTTTTGTGTTATTATGTGAATTTGCCATATGGTATAATTAGGTTTCATTATTATAACACACAGTGTGTAGGGTCATTGACTTGATTCTTCTGTTGGCATAAGTCAAAGGGTAAGGGATGGAAAGGGAGTTTGGTGGTTATCGTTCCCTATAGATGTGATCCAAGTTGAAGGATCAATTTAGGATCATGGCAAAAGAACATCTCCAATATGAACTATCAAAGGAAAAACTTATTTTATTTATATTTTGCTACAGGGTATGTGTGCTTTCCAGAGAGAGAAAATGGAAAACCCCAGGGGTAGGCAGGGATGACGGAGGGATGGCCACACTATAATTCCATCTCCTTCATTTTCCTTTTGAGATTTTTGAGCACACTTGGACATGTACCTGGCATATATTTCAAGATGCTGGGTCCAGGACTTGAACTTTTAAGTCAGCCATGTGGGGTTCAGCTACCTTAACCATCTCACCACCAGCTGCTCCTAAATATACTTTAAATTAGAAGCTTTAAAAAAATAAATGAAACTATATAATCCTCAAAAGCTTGCCTCTTACATAATAAATAAATAAATAAATAAATAAATAAATAAATAAATAAATAAAGTATTAATACTGTTCAATAAGCCAGAATAATCAGAGGCACTGTTTTAGCCTCTTTTCCAGCACAAACATGTACCTAATCTGTTTCTCTGTATTTCTGTTTTTCCTTTCTGTTTTTTGTTTTTTTCTCTTTCTTTTTAAATTTGTTGTAGGATATGTGTGCTCATCAGAGAGAGAAAAAGAGAGTGAGAAATCACCTCTGGGGGGGGGGATTTGCCATGCTGCAGTCCCTTCTTTAGTCTCCTCTTGGGATTTTGGGTGCACTCACACATGTGCCTGGCATGATTTTCAAGCCACCAGGTTCAAGACTTGAACTGTGTGGTCAACTATGTGGGATCCAGGTACCTTACCTTCCATGCCATTTGCTGTCCCCTCTCCTTGTTTCTCATATCTTTCCCCCGGTTTCTGATCTGCATTCCTGTGTAAGAAATAGGCTCATTTGTCATTTGAAAACACTTTTGGTTATTTTCTCTTCTATTCTATCCCCATAGAAGACCAGTTTTCAAACTGTCTTATTCTGTCTCTTTCCTCTCCAGAGTCCCTCCTATCCTGCATGTAATTTTAGGTCTTCAAGTAGCATTGGATGCTAAGAGACCTCCTGATTCTAACCTAGGAAAGCCAGTCTTTGGAAGATAACTTCCTGTATATACCATTTCTGAATTCTGATGTATTTATTCTCTTTTCTGAGATTGAGCCATATATGTGCTCAGGATAACTTTGCTTCCACAATACCAGGGGCATTCTTTTTGTTTTCGACAAATAGTGTAGAATCATAGCTGAACCAGGGTCTCCTCATGTCTAAAGCAAACCAGTTTTAGAAGGATTCTGTTGTCATTATTTAAGTCCTTTGACTTTTTTCTTGAGAGAGATTTTTGCTACCGGGCATATACACTCGCCAGACAGAGAGAAAGAAAGCAAAAAATAACCCCCCTTGGAGATGGCCACACCACAATCCCTTCTCTTCCAGTCTCCTTTTGGGATTTGGGGCACATACTCACACGTGCCCAGCGTGAGTTTTAAATCGTCAGGTCTGGGACTCGAACCATGATTGACTCGGTGGGAGTCCAGCAGTGTAACCATTATGTCATCTGGTCCCAGTGCTTTGACATTTAAATTGAGGTTATGAAATAGTTACTTAGTGTATGAAGAATGTTATGTAAATATCTAATCATTTCTTAATTTCAGCATTTAATATATGTGCAATAGCAGGAAGTGATTAGACCAAGAGAAAGCATCTAGAGGTCCTAAGTTATCATTCAAGTTCAACTTTGTGACCAGGGTCCTACTTAAAATTTCTAAGAATCCTGAACCTTCTTTATCTTTGCAGTGGTCTGTCCCAGCTACAGAATTCTGTGCCTCAGTCACTGAGCTTACTGTGACTGACTGAAGTGACTAAGTTTAGTAGTGGTTTGGGATTCTTCTTCCTTTTTTTTAGAGGGAAAAAAAAAATTATTGGGACCAGCAGTTAGCGCAATGGCTATGTCGCTGAACTCCCTTGTAGTCAACTGCGGTTCACATCTTGGACCCCGTGGCTTAAACTCAAGCCAGGCGCATGTGTGTGCATGCCCAAGATCCCGAGAGGATGGAGGAGAAGGAATTGCAGCATTGCCATCCCCCCGGGGGGTGATTTCTCGCTTTCTGTCTTTCTGTCTCTCTCTGGCGAGCACACACGTCCTATAGCACAAAAACCTCTCCAAAAAAAATTATTTATTTTATTTATTTATTATTATTTCTCAATTTGCTTACAGGACACATGTGTTTACCAGACACAGAGAGAGAAAAAGGGAAAATGAGAAAGCAAACAAGCAGGTCCAAGACTTGAACCACAGTTTGCCATGTGGGAGTCCAGAGCCTTAATCACCATGACACCGGTTGGCCTCAGTGCTTTGGGATTCTTACCTTAATATTTTGACCCCTGTTCATAGCTCATATTTGTTGGCAAGATGACCACCACTAGCCATATTGTCAGTAATGTCGTTTAGTTTGCTATATACATTGAAGGTGTTTTTATGAAGTTCTTGTTGTTTACTCTGGGCCAAGAAAAAAATGTAGCTTACATAGGAAATAATGCCAATTAATCTTCCTGTAAACCTGAATTTTTCCAAAAATATGTTTAGCTATACTGCTTCTTGAAATTTTGAAATTATAAATTATGTATGAAGTATTTATGTTTTTTTAATTTGTATTTTTAGAAGCATAAACATCTGGTTTCAAGATCATGTTCTTAGAAGTTTAGGTGGTGTCATGAAAGTCCCTATTTTCATTTCTGGATATTATATCTAAGTTCTATATAGTTACTTTTTCTAATTTCTGATTGTGGCATACTACCCTCAGGTTGGCTGGCTTTATAGGCTTGGCTAACTTTCCTCAGATGATTCTCAGATAAGATTGCAAGTAATTAATAAAATTCAAGTTAAAAGTGAAGAGGTTTTGCTTGAACTCTAGTGAGTAGCTTTACTAGTACATAAAAGGGCTGTGATGTAAACAAAATCTTAGGACTTCTCTAGTGTAGCTAAAAATTTTTATGAGTTAAATATATAGTACAGGTAAATTGCTAACATATGTTACATAGACACTTATACAAGCATATATAAAGTATATTTCTATTCGTGGATCAAAGAGTTACCTTACTCCAGCAGTGTCCATTATGTTTTAATGTCAGCTTGCTCTTATATCACAGCTGCTGTTGAGAGCCAAGTGTTCATGTTAAAGTGAAGACTTGAAAAAGAGGAGAGTAGAGTGGAGGACTGTGTAGTGAGTAGCTGCTGTAAAGGTGTGCTGAAACTTGGTGAATGTTCGTCTGAGAATGCCCAGTGGTGCAGCTCTTCTCTCCTGTGAACTAACAGCCAGATTATTTGTAATTTCCCATGCTATTTAAAACAGGGTTCTCATGTATCAGCCATCTTCTGTAAGGGTGCCCAGTGTGACTTCGGTTGATCCTGCTGCTATTCCGCCTTCATTAACAGACTACTCAGTACCATTCCACCACACGCCAATATCAAGCATGTCATCAGATTTGCCAGGTATGTGGAGAGTTTTTATTTTGTTTCTTTTTTTTTCTCGATCCAATTTTATAATTTATTTTGAATCTGTGGAGCAAGTAGTTTTTTAAAATTTTAAGTGGAAGTGCTAAGACATTTGAAGACCTGTCAAGGTCGTGTGTGTTTAAAATGTCATATCAGTTGTTATCATTTTAACAGTTGAGTATTCTATAGTTTCTTGTTGATAGGTAGTAAAATTTTAGAGTTTATTTTCTCTTGTAGAGAATTTGTATCTATAGATTTTATTTTTCTTGGTTTATTTATCATAGAATCTTCACCCTTTAGGAAAGAGTATTTTCTAATACTCTTCTTGGTAGCCCATCACAACCTACACTGTGGTAGTATGGGGCTGATTTTACCTACCAGCTTTACACTGTAGATTTTATACCCCTGTAAAAAAAGAGTCTATCATCTCTT